TGATTCGAAATTCGAAAATGGGAGAAGACGATGATAATTGGCATGATGAATATCTGGAAGAATTCGTTCCAGACTCTGAAGTGCATGATTCTTTCCCATCTTCGGGACAATAGTTTCCTGTTTGCCCAACTAGAAGGCGGCGAGCCCCGATCAAAATTTACAACTTCATTAAGAAGTGTACCTCCTTACATCCAGATCTGCACAAAATAACTAGGCGGATTCACTTGGATGGGGAAGAACAGGACCAATGGTTCTACAAAGACACGACGTATCTGATTCCTAAACATGTCCAAAAGGTAGTGACTTCAGGCCAATAATCAGTATGAGAGATATGCTGATTACTTGATGCTTACAAAATGTTCAGAATCTTTTTATGCAATACTGATTTGTTATTTCCAATGAGCATTTAATATATTAGTTTGAGTAAGTACTGATCTTTATTTTTGAAATCAGTAAACATTGTTAAAATAAAAAAACATTATTAATTAGCACACTTATCACATTGTGAGTTGCGTCATTCAATTTTAACGTAGATTTGTAATGTCTGGCATTTACTTTTCATTCTGGCAGGCAAATAAATTGAAGTAGCTAATTTCTAATCTCTTTACCCAAGCATATTTCATTCTCTCCACTTGTTTCACTTACATTTTCTTTCCACAGAAAGATTTTCCCTGAATCTTTGTCAATTACTTTCAGTAAATATGGAATTATTTTCCATCGCAGACGTACTTGGGCCAGTTTTACATTACTTTGAATCAGTCATTCTAGAAATACTTGCTTTCGTTAAATAATTTTGTATAATCATTGGGATCTACATGGCATTTTATGGTAACAACAATGGTTTTTCATCATTGCAGTAAGCATTCGACAATATTTCCAAATGCTATTAATATATTTATTTATTTGCTTGTATCAACTCTTCCTTTGGTCTACAAGCAATTGACGCTTAAAGCCACTTTTTACTTTTATGATTTTCTTAGATATTTCTTCAGTCATGTGTTAAAACTGTAAAATTTTGTGGGTTTTGAAATTCTGTGGTGCTTCAGATCGTAAATTGAAATCTGGCGCTCTGCAAGAATTATGGTCTGAAAGCAATCCCACGCATTTCGATGATAAATGTGGTATAACGAATAGAAATTTTCAAAAACTAAAAGTTACTATGCGATAATTTTTGATAGTGACATAAATTTGTTTCACTGAAGTTCAAATCTATTCATATTTGAAAATCATTCAGCAAAAACGTTCGATACCACTATATTCACTTTCGACAGTGTAGCGATGCAATATTTTTGGACATAAAACTGTAAAATAAAAAATTAGAGAATTTGGGATGTAAAATAAGATATAGTGCAGCTGACAAAGACACAAAATAGTCAATCGTTAGTCTCAAAACTAAGTTTGATGCAGTTAAGTTTGAAGTAGAAAAATCTTGCAGCTTTGTTGCTATTATAAATGTATTGTAGATTGAACTTTCCTGTAATATATTCAATCAAAAAACAAAAACTCTGCAACAACAAGCAAAATGCAAATAGCAGCTAGTAATAAATCTTTCCTTAGAATATGTGAATGAATTATTCAGCGTAAGTTTTAAGCATGTAAACAATAACATTAATGCCAAAATTATAAGCGCTTGCATAAAATATTTGAAAATTTTCTTTCGTCGTATGGGGCGGTTTTTTTGGAGCTCAAAACTTCTGTCATTTAAGTGCATACTTATTGTTACGTTCAAGTAATAAAACTGAAGTAAGACGGTCGCAATTTGCAGAAAAGTATGCTTTTCCTTGCTCTGTAAGCAACACTATTTCATTTTTCGAGCAATATTTGGAATCAAAAGCTTTTTGAAACAGTAATTTTAAAAAAATGTAACTATTAGAGTAAAATTATGAATTTAGATTTTGTCTGTAGCAGACTTTGTGGGTAAAGTTTTGTGGACAGTGAAACATATGCAAAAATTTTTAGAAACCATCAAGATCTATAATATTCATAATAAGGTCGAAGATGATACTTGGAATAATGTTACTGAAAAAACGAATATGATTAATAATGACGCAAATAAAAATTTTGTTAGCGACGAGAGGGCAGACACGTTTGGTCTCAATTTCTCAAGCAGAGTGATTCCGCCGTTGGAGAAGTGATTTCATTCGTGATATGCAAAGCGCTCCTCTGTTCGAGCTAACGTATTGGCATCTTATTTTTTCTTCTTAAACTTTTTATTTTTTCTTGATTCGATTTTCAATACTTGTAATGCATGTGCGTTTTTCGTATCTTGTAAAAACTTTGTATTTCGTAAAAATCTCTTTGCATTTCTCCTTTAGTCAGTTGGCAGATACTATTAAATAGGTTACCTAATCTTTCCTTTTTATAATTTCGATAGTAAATTAAAGTTGTAGTCACCAACAGAAGCGGCGCTTGGTAATTTGAAAAGCTCCAGTGTGAATATTAATAATGAATTTCTCATGTGTGAGTATGAAGGTTTGTATTCGGAGTTAGAAATAATTATGCAGCATTCACTAGTTACTGTTAATAGTACAATATCGGTTGTTACCAAAACCTGTGTCAAAACTTGTATTTTTATGATATTTTTGAAACTTGTACCGCTAATTTAATATATTAATCAAATTTCGCATACTTACTGATCTGCTTGATATAAACAAAGTTTGACACGAAAGCAAAGAAAAATAAGTAAAAATTTTCAAATTTTTCAACTAGTTAAAGCATTTATGCTTTATTATTTTAGCTTAGTACAGAAAAACTAATTTTACTCCTTAATCTATTCTTACATTAGTGTGCCCTACTCACTTTAACTTCCCTGATAAAATCTATTAACCAAATTACACAAAGATGGAAATCGGATTCAGCAATTATTACTAATATGGCAGCAAGGAAATCAATGTACCAAGTGAGTTCCACCTGCATTTTATGTATTATCTCCTCAGGGAATGAGAGAGATATTTGGAACATCTCAGCAATCCACCATTTAATGCAACCGCAACAGGAAAAATGCTCGGCTTCACATACAATTCCAAGTCTTTTATTTTTTTAAATTGCATTAATAATCTCAAATCAATATTGCATACGTATTTTATTGCATCAATATCTGTTTATAGATTTGCTAATTGATATGATTATACTTTTTTGCAGAATCCAGCTGCCCGTCGACAGGCTAGTACTGATTCATTCCGGTATTAATTCATTAGTTTACTTGTTTAATCCGTTAAAGTAATCACATTTTTTCCAGCTATTAACATAGCGCAGTGTGAGAAAGCTAAACAAACAGCTTTATTATTCTATGAATGAATATTCACGTTGAATAGTCATTCACAGTCGTATAAGTCATGAAAATTGTATTGCTAATCGATGACTGAGGGAGCGCCATTTACTCACTTTTTAAGTGACCCATTCCATAATGATTTGAAACACCGACATTACAGGAGGCAGTTATCAAATTCATTCGATTCAAGTTACACCTCGATGAGTCAAACTTTAAAATTCTCAAATAACTCTTCAAGAAAATTTCGAACTGCAGCCTCACCACAAAATCCATCACAAGAGAAGCAATCATCAAATCTGTTCGAAACGAGCAGTGATCAAAAAGTAATCTCAATGAGCGTTAAGGTAAATTATCACTGTCATTTTGCTTGTCATGACTACTATTAATTAATATCACTTCTGCTTCTAGCACTCCTTAAATGGTACTAATTTCTAGAATACTGCTCCTGCTATCAACATAATGTTATTAATTTGACAGCTTAATAAAGCAGGAAGTAATATTCATATAAATAGTGAGTTATACTATCTACGGTAGAAAACTTGAACTAGTAAAAGTAACCAGTCGTGATCACACTAATTATGGCGGCGAAAAAGAATAATGCACGCATCCAAAAGAAGCTTTACTTTTGAAATAATTTTTTGATTTCCATTCGCAAATTTATCTTTGAGTGGTTTTCTAATAAGTTTTGACTAATTTGTTAGAGTAATAAGAATTTCGATAATAACTGTAATTGTTAATATTTCTAGCAGAACAAAAGTCGGTCTTGCACGCCAGACATATCACAGCAGGCGAACAGAACAAGCAATACAAGTACCAAGAAGGTAAAAGGAAGCCAATTTACCAGCCTTCAAAAAACTTTCGTTTGACTCGTTTTTTGTTACCAAAAGACAGCTTTATTAATTTAATGCACTGACAATTTTTGGCATTTAGACCAAGTGCAAACGATAAAAAATACGCCTTGCCAAACAACCAAAAATTAGAAGTAATGATTTACAGATACCGTTGCTGTCATTATTATAAGTGACATTGCTCATAATGCACCGTATTTGTGAAAACTATTATCAAATTTTATCAAATTGATTTCACCTAATCAGGAGGGAATACCAGATAAATTTTTGGATTTAACGGTGAAATGAGATCTATTATATACAGTATTTAGCACTCAAATCAACTTAATTCAGTATAATAGCTTATTTCTGATACTTGATGTTTTTAAAATTATATGAATTGAAAAATTGCTACCCAATACGCGAGTTTTATTTAACCCAATTGAATTAACTGAGATTAGATGATCCGAAGGACACAATCTGTTGATGTCAGCAAAGTATCACCACAATCCGGAAATCTCGATAACATGGGACGGTACACCTCTCAGTCATCACAACGTTCTTCAAATATCTCAACTAGCAAAATTCCAGTATTATCACTCAACTCACAAGTAAATTTAAAACTTAGAGCATAATAAAGGTGAAACAACTTCTTGCAAGAAATGGATTTAGCAAGGCATAAACAATTTATTTGCATAAAAAAGCAGATTAATGGGTATATGAATGAATAAAAGAAAAAGTGATTTAAAAAATGATTTTTCATTCAACCTTTGCTTATATTTATTCATATGTTGCAAAAAATGGTTGCAGTTCTTACAACAGTTTTCATAAATATTCCCCCAAAATTTTTCCTTGAAATATTCAACAAAAATGTTTTTTAATGTGTTGTTGTTTGGCTGCAAATGCAAACTGTCAGTTCAATTCCACAAAAAGTTACGATCAACGCTATCTACATTTATTTACAGTCTATTATTTTATTTTGTATGGATAATGCACGATCAGACATAGCGATCAGAATCATTCAACGAATGGCGCATAAACGTGATGATTTCGCTCAGTTTTATGTAAATTTGAGCAACGAACAATCAGTTGAATTAGTTACAGGCTTGAAAAAATTTCTTAGTGACATTGTAAGAAATATTGCAAACTCTGAAAAGGTACTATTTAATTACGTGGGCATTTTTGGCATTTAAATTTCAGACTTCTTAACAGTCAACTTAAATACTATAAAAAGTATTGACCAAAAAATCAATCTAAAAAACAAATACTGCATGAAAATACAACTATTATTAGCTATAATAATGATATAGCAAGTATTTCTAATCATGTAAGTCATATAGAGTTTACTATTCGAAGCAATTTATTTTTACACTATATTTATAGCGGAATTACCGGGAAAAAAATCCATGAAATTTTACCAGTAGGTAAATTCTATCGCTCTTTTCATGCATGTCAAATTATAGTATGAAATTACTGCTTATGTGTTGCAAGCAAATCAGATCAATTTAAGATCAAAGAGATATCGAATAAATACGGTACTGAACAAGCTCACAAGCGTAGCTGGGGTTTTAAAGCTGACTTTTTTGCTGCGTTAGCTGACGCACTGACTACAGAATGCGTCTTTCTGGATGGTGCTGCTCATCAGGTAAAATTTAAAATACCAGTCCAGACATAAGTATTATCTAGATATATTTAGATGTGTTATATTCACTATTGAATGTTTCTGAAAATAATCAGTGACTAAGTACAGAACTGAAAAATTTTCAGCAAAGAGAAAAAGTTAAAGATTGTTTTCAGCCCACAGATACAATTGAAGCTTGGGCAACATTAGTTGAATTAATGTTTACGCATGTGAGAGATGGTTATTATCAGAAGGTGAGTGTGATATCTCACTTTACTAACAAACTCAGTAGAGAAATGAAGTTGAGGACAATTTTGAAATCCAATTAAAGTCACAATCAAGTTAGTCAAAATTAATGAAGACTTGTTTTGAGGATACCAACTGATGAAATACAGATTGATACTGATCATTTTTTACTATTCTGGCGAATTTTACGCGCGACTTTTATTCCAAAGATGAAGTCTCGCAGTCAAAAAATATTTTTTTATGCTCTTCACTGATTTGATTATGTGAGACTGGCTATATACTGGTGATATATGATGAATTTTTATATCTAAGTTGGAATATTAAGTAGGAGCTAGTAGCAGACACAAAGAAAACTGATAATAATTTGCATGAAGTGAAGAACTGGAGATTCATTCAATTTATTGATGAATATGAAAGCAGTTCAATACTGATCTGCAGAGAAATTAGGTTCTACAATCACAATTAGTTTCATTACATAGTAATATCTGATATAAAGATTTGTTGCAACTGAAATTCTCTGCAAAAGCATGAAAATAAAGCGGAAGACAGCCATCTAAAATACCTGGATGGTTACCAGTTACCAAGATAGTAGTGAAAATATTCTTATTACAATGAAAAATCATTCTTTAGTAAGTTCACAGTGCTAAACGGTTACCAAATAATTTGATTTTGCACAAAGCAAAAAATGAAAATGATATATTAAAACCAATTAGTACTTGCATTTGCTCGACAAAATTCCGAATATTTACTTTATTTAGTAAGGATAATACCAAATCACCCTTTTTTTATTAAATACATATTTATTTATTTACCTATTTACATAACATATTCTTCGGTAAGAAAGAAGTTACTTATGAATATTAATTTCATAGACTCGGCAGTTACGCAACAGTTGGCAAACTTTCAATAGCGTATCTAATGTGAGCAGTCAATCAGATCAAAGTGCTGAAAGCGATCCACCTCAAATATTTTTTTCGCCAAGACATACTTTCAGTCCCGCAATTCAAATTTCGTCGTCATCGAATACATATCCAAATTTTCAAGATGAAAGTACCACAAACAAGTCTTCTTTATGATAAACAAAAATAAACTACTTGTCGGTTCGCATAACTAAAATTCGCTGATTATGAGTAAGAAGGTTAGGACAGATGAACCCAATTTACCAGAACTGTGAGCTTACTTATTTGGTATCTTATTCGTAGACTAATACACCTTCAAATTAATAATGTATATGTAAATTTCCACCAAATTTTATTGACTTTACGAAATAATTCCAAGTTCTAAGCAAAATATTTTGGTTCCGAACTCTTTGTATTGAAAACCTAAATGAATTAAAAATGATCCTTAAAATAAGGTAATCAGGATGGATCATTTTTTAAATAATTGATATTGACCTATTATAAGTACAGGATTCGTTAATTAAAAAGAAGTACGAAATTACTTTGCAGTAATTAAAAACAATTAGAACTATACATAATCCTTGCGTATTTGAAATAGATTTCCAGAAATAATGACAAGGGTCCCAAATTGTTTTCATCTCGTCTCAATCTCCAGATATTCATGTTACAATCTTTCCGCCTTAATACTAATATTTTGTCCTGAAAACATATTCAATAAACTAGTTTGTTTTCCCTTTAATATCACTGAAGATCAGGAAAATGGGAATGGGATCAATAGTAAAAAGACATAAGCGAGTGAGTAAATCCAGAGTTTTGTCAATTTTTATGGTTATTATGTCTTTGAGTATTAGTTACTTTTACAGCAGATTTGCTCATTTTAACTTCCATAATGATCACAAATGTTCCATCCATTGAACGGTTGCTGTCGACCTGCTACCACAATTGACAAAACGAATCTCACAAATCACATTTCCTCTGAATTCAAGAGCTTATTCTCAAATTTTTACTACACCCGAATGCTCATGTAATAATCCTTCCTTGAAACCCATCATTAGCGAATATTATGAGTAATTAAGTATGCTACTCTTAAATGTAGTGCTATTCCAATCTGATGAGTGCAAATTTTTATTCTGACGAGTGGATTTACACAAAATCTTCACGTCTGTCATAATGTGCCATTTATGACCTTTCCTACAATAAGACTAAATAACAACCACACCGCCACTATTATCTATTCTACACAAAATAAAACTGAAAACTGGTCCAAATCAAACAAATTAATCATGGAATATAGAAGATGGAAAAACCTTGGTAGTCATAAAAAGAGTATGAATGCACTCTGTTATAATGATAGAACTTACACATTTTGAAATCTTTATTTTCCAAAAAATATTCAATTTTTTTAGTATCAGATGAACAACGCAACAAATCTAAATTCATGGTATGAGTTTATTTTCATAACATTATATATCATTTTAAAGCTTACAATGGTTAGACAGTCAAAAATGATTACTGATAGACATAAAAACAATACAATGTAATAAAACCTAAAAGTGTAAATGCTACGCTCTCACTAATTAATTAATTGATGGAAATCCACATTAATATACAGCTTTTTAAGGACTTACTATCTGCCATTATTAAGAAAATGATTTTCACTGCTCACCGTAATAAGCGTCAATCTTGAAATTATTAACTAACAACACTATTGTTTAATTTTTGAATCATACTCTTTGAGAAACGACTCCGCCACCCGACGGATATCATCAGATAAAGGTTCACCAGAACTCAAAGCATATTCTGTTAATACACGACTTAAATACAAATATTGAATTTCTGTTTGTATACACTGCGCTCGTTTCTTCCTGAGATCCCTTAAAAGCTGAAAATTTTCATCTTCTTTTCTCTGATATGCAGAAATGAAAACATTCCTACAATTAAATAAAGAGAACACTGAATAGTAACAAATTTATGGAACATTTTTGAAAGTTTAATCCGTGTTAAATAATGAAATTTACCATTGCTAAATCAACTTTACGGCCTTCATGAAACCGCCTAATGCCAAGTTCAATAGCAACAACGGTGCCAGTCCGTCCAATTCCAGCAGAACAATGTACAACACATGGTGCACGAGTATTCCTTACCAAAGATAGTAATTTTAAAGGAATGATCGCATTTTCATGACTTGGAATCCCACGATCAGGCCAACTAAAAAAATGTACTAAAATTAAAATGCTTAAACAAAAGTTCTTTTGTTCTTAATGAACAAGCATTTTTATATTCCAATATTTCATATGAGCTTGAGAACTTACGTGTTCCACTGATACTGTTTAACAACTAAAGGATCCTTGTTGATGATGGAAGACGATTGTTTGAATTCATCTTTGAGCTGTACTTTAAAAACGAGGACCTCAAAATCAGAATTTTCTTCACCAACTTTTTCAACATCTACTGTGTTGAGTTCCAATTTATCGCCATTGTCAGGCCAATAAATAGAACATTTTGGTTTACCGTCTTCAGAAGGTCTAAAAGAAATGGAATTAAATATTACAATCATCAAGAAGAATGGTAATTATCATTAAAAGGAAGGATCTGACAATAGAATTCAAGCAATTCGCTTAATAAAAACAAAACTTAATAAAACAAATCTTGAGAGAATAATTGTTGAATAATGAATGAAATAATTATCTATTTCATTTTTCACTCAATAATTTTTCTTCCAATCTGTAATTTAAATCTTTGCAGAACATCAATAAACAGTCAACCTGCAAAGCATTAGAATAGTTTCAGCACGTTCCTGAAATACCATTCTCCAAAAGTCGTCTCTAGTTGTTAATAATGGTCCCTGGAAAAAAAAAAAGTGATTATGCGAACCGGATATGCAGTTCATCTAGCAAAATCAAAAATCCAAGTCTACATGTTTATACAGATATCAAAACTCTTTTCACATGCAATTTACTTTCAAAGTCATTCATTAAGATTCAAATTAGTGGGTACTAAAAAGAGATCAAAAATAAATACCTGAGTACAAATAAATTTGTTTTGCAATTCGGGAAATAGCACATAATTGGCATGGATATAATCACCGCATGCGGCTGATCCAATTTTTAATACTACTCGTGTTTCATCAACGCAAAGAACATCTGTAACTTCATTATCAGATCCCATAACAATGATAAAAATGATCTCGAAAATTTTTGAAACCAAAAAACTAGTGGTACAATTCCTCAAAAAATAAGTGCTTGGATCTTCATAGATTAAAACGAGGGTGTATTATGATAATGATAAACAAAATAACACGTCATACAAACTTACAATTTTGAAAAATTTTTTTACCATTGAAAGACAGAATATTAAAAAGCAATAAATTCATTGATAATTTCATTTTGGAGAATATGAGGATACTTTTTATAAGAAAATAGTAAGATCTTTTCATAATTTGATATTGAAAATAGACCACACTTCAAAAAATTACCAGAGTAGCGATTTTTAGCCATATTCATTACAAACGCCTTATGAGAACCAGTCGGCGCATCTTCTACATCAATTTTATGATATTCTGAAGCCAAACCTGACATACCTTTATCGTTCATATCTTTGATGAACCGAGACATTGATTCCACAGGTGTCTGAACAAGATTAAAATGCAAGAGCAGCTTTTCAAAACAAAAAGTTCATTAAAAAGACGCAAAAAGCAGTTAACAAAGAACAAAAAATACATTTCACGAATATAAATGGACAAGTTTTTTCACCATAATCTAAAATTTTATTCAGAATCATATTACATGAGATTCAAAGACGGAGAAGACTGAAAAAAAAAATTAAAGTCTGTATAATTATATTTTTATACAATGAAAATATAGAAAAGAAAATAAGATGTGAACCGTAATGGAACCACTATCGGTGACGACGTTTGAGATAGCCTCGGAGGCCGTTGCCAAGACTTCACGAACTCGGCTACCGAATCGTTGCACAATATTGGCCAGTTCTAAAAATTTCTACAAAACAATAAAACAAATGAGTTTCAAAGGATTCCTCAGAAATATACGAAACGATCAGTTACCAGCTGAGGAAATTCCAAATAATATTTGTCTTGGTATCTATAGCTTCTGCGAGAGTTGACAAATTTGAGACAATAAATTCGCAATAAGTCCTTTTACAGCTTACTATGAAAACAACAGTAAGCTATAAAATACTATACTTATCACGATTAAGAATTCCGCAAGTCTAAGAAAGATCACAGATCGCCGGAAGAAAAGAAGGATCAGAAAAAATCGCAGAAAAATTTGACAACGGGAATTTTTGAGAAGCAGTGAATAAACACTTTTTTTAATACGATATTTTTCAAGTAAACTCAGCAGATTACCGAATGCACACTCTTTCCTACAGTGAATTAGATTACTGCCATAATAAATAAAAAATTAATGCTTATTCATTACTTCTCGAAAAAATCTCAAACAATCAGTGAATCGCTT